GGCAGGCCTGGTGCTGGAACAGTAACTGAGGGTTTACATCTGATCTAGGACAGACAGACAGATAGACAGACAGACAGACACACACACACACATACACACACACACACACAGTGAGAGACAGAGACAAACTGGATCTGGGCTTTTGAAACCTCAAACCTCATAGCTCACCCCCAGTGACACAACTCCTAATCAAAAAAAAAAAATGGTTTGACCAACTAGGGACCAAGCATCCAAAATATATGAGCCCTCTGGGGATCATTCTCATTCAAAATACCATGGAGGGTAATGTCCACCTGATGTACTACAGGACAGCTTAGCACAAGGCCACCTACCTCACCATTCCTGACCCCTTTGCTGTGGCAGAGACTCCCTGAGGTCCACACACAACCTAGCTCAACCACACTGGGAACAAAGCCATGGAGATTAATAGGGGGCTCCTAGGCACGGCAGAGAGGAGTAGGGAGGGGGTGAGGCCGCCAATCCACACGAACCATCGGCACTGGAGGGACTGTTCGTAGTGGGAAATTAACGGAGGGAGGGCCACTGGTTCTGCTCAGCTGGGACTAAACAGTCTGCCCTGATGCCTGGGATGAGAAACAGCATAGGAAGGGACAGGGGTGGTGGAGAGGACCGCAGAGAGGCCCTCAGGAAACAGAGGCCACTGACCTCTGACCAGAGGGTGCCAGGTGACCAACTTGGTAATCAGGGGCCTAGGGACTAGGGACAGGGCAAGGGGCAGGTCTGGAACTTCTAATCCAAAGATGCCACCTACTAAGGGCTGTGTGACAGGTGTTCCCCACACCTGGCTCTTCAGAACTGAGAACTGAGGTCCACTTCCAATTATTAACATCTGGCATTATTTTGCCTCCTTAGTAATAACTGATGGGCCGGGTGTAGCACAGGGGTGTCTGGGAAGGCAGAGTACTGCATCTCTCATGGAGCAAGAGAAAGACCCCAACGCCACAGTGGGGTGGGGTGCAGGTGACATAGGAGGCTGGAGAGGCCAGCATGGAGTGGAGACCAGGTCCCAGTGGCTACACAGACCAAGTCTCTCCTGTCAGCGTCTTCTCCAAGCCACAGGCCCTGGCCTCAGGAGTTCCCCCTCCCTATGCTCCACTCTCCCGTCCCCGCTGGCCTCCTCCTCATCTATCCCTGCCAGACCCTCGCAGCAGCTCTCGGACAGCCCTCATCAATCAGTCCCTCCTGCCCTTTCTATCACGTTCTCCGGGCAGCCAGCGGGGCTGCGGCCCCAGTGCCTTAGCCCTTGCAGGGGTGGGGTTACAGGGTCTGCACTGACCAGCCACGCTCTGTGCTCTGTCCTGATTGGCCATCCCTGCCAGCTTTGCTGCTGTTGACTATCTGGAGAGCAGTAGCCGGCCCTCCTCCTGTTGGTAGCCAGCCCCCTGACTCATGCTGCTTGTTGATAGCCAGTGTCTACCTCTTTCCAGGTCCAGGGTGATTGCTAGAATCCCCCAAGCATCCTGATTTTTCCAGCTGTCTGTCACCCAGATCTACCTAGGGATGGAGCAGCCACTAAGGGATCAGACCTTGGCTGGTGTTTTTGTGGGACTTTTCCCAGAGTCCTCCATTCTTCCTTCCAGAGCTATGGGAGCAGATGGAAGAAGGCAGGGTTCACAGGTGAAGCGCCTTGGCCTGGGTCCCCCAGATGGCCATGTCACTGTAGTGTTTGTTTTTGTGGTCCCTTATGCTTCTGAGACCTTAGGACCTTTGCTGTTTTACATGTGATTCCTGGGATCAGTGTCTCTCCCCTGCCTGTAACCTCCATGAGAACAGACACTCAGGCCAGCTCTGCCTACCGTTGTTGCCCGGTGCCTTCCCGATGATGCACGCCAGAGGCTGATGAGTATTAGATCTCATACACGTTAGATTATCAGTAAATCTTGGTAAGCTATTGATGAATAAGTTATACATGGAACATCCATCCATCCATTCACTTAACAATGGTTGAGTAGCAGGCCCTTTGATGGGTGTTGGGATCAAAGGATAAATTAGATGTAGACTCTACCCTTAAGAGAATCAATCTGGTGGGGAAGATAGACTTGCAAATTAAAAATTACACGGTGATAGGGAAAATGCCAGAATGGTGTGGTGTGCTAGGTGCTGTGAAGAGTGGAGACCATAAACCCTGACTGCAGGGACAGGACCGGGGAGTGGCAGTGCGCTTTCCTGGAGGGCTGGTGTGGTAGGAAGAGGAAGGACCTCCCTAGACTGAGGGGTGTGAATGCAGAAGGGGTCTCCTTTGCATAGGGAGCCCAATCAGGCAGGACGAGTTTTGTCCCTTCACCACTTAGGAGCCAGCTGGTTCCCACTGGTACCCTCGGCTCCAGGATAAGGAGGGTCACATCCGGGCTGATCGGGATGAAGACTTCCCCCTCCTGTCATTCAACTTGATGGGCTGCCAGCAATCCCTTCTGCCAGAGAGTTCCACGATTTGAGCCAATTTGAAACAGTCTTATGAGATTTCTTGAACCCAAATACCACCCATATAGAGGGCTCGCTGCACTCTCTCATCTTATAATTCCACTCAAGACATCATCAAGTTGCGGGCACAGTTGTCTGCAGGCAATTTCATGCACCTTCTGGGAACTGCCGATTCTTTGCCCCCTCCTCCTGTGTCTGTGTGTGTGATGTGTATGTCTGTGTGTGTATCTGTGTGTGTGTGTCTGTTGTGTGTGTGTATGTCTGTGTGTATATCTGTTGTGTGTGTGTATGTCTGTGTGTATATCTGTTGTGTGTGTGTGATGTGTATGTCTGTGTGTTTGTGTGTGATTTGTATGTCTGTGTGTTTATGTATGTGATGTGTATGTCTGTGTGTTTGTGTCTGTTGTGTGTGTCTGTTTGTGTGATGTGTGTCTGTTGTGCGTGTCTGTGTGTGTGTCTGTCGTGTGTGTCTGTGTGTGTGATGTTTATGTCTGTGTGTTTGTGTCTGTTGTGTGTGTCTGTGTGTGATGTGTATGTCTGTGTGTTTGTGTCTGTTGTGTGTGTCTGTTTGTGTGATGTGTGTCTGTTGTGCGTGTCTGTGTGTGTGTCTGTTATGTGTCTGTCGTGTGTGTCTGTGTGTGTGATGTTTATGTCTGTGTGTTTGTGTCTGTTGTGTGTGTCTCTATCTCTGTGTGTGTCTGTTATATGTATCTGTGTCTCTGGGTATGTCTGTGTGTGTGTGTATCTGTGTGTGTGTTGTGTGTGTCTGTTATGTATGTCTGTGTGTTTGTATGATGTGCATGTGTTATGTGTGTCTCTGTGTCTGTGTGTCTGTGTGTTTGTATGATGTGTATGTCTGTGTGTGTCTGTCTGTTGTGTGTGTCTCTGTGTCTGTGTGTCTGTGTATGTGCATAGTGATTGTACCTTTGAGCAAGAGGCCAGAATCCCTCAGAGCTGGAGTTACAGGCATTTTGCAAGGCACCTGGCTTGTTATGCTGGTGTTGGCATCTGAACTCTGGTCCTTAGAATTGAGCAGAGAGCACTTCCAATGGCTGAGTCATCTCTCTGGTCCCCCTTCCTCTTTGGCAGGGACTTACCATCGTCTGATGCATGCACCTTTCCTATGTGCTGCTGTGTTGGTTGAAGGTGAGACACTCAAGCACACGGGGGTGTACTAAATGAGGCAAGGCTGTGAACTGTGGGCATCTCCAGAGAGACAGCCTTGAGTAGAAAGAAGTACCAGAGGGAAAAAAGATAATGTCGCCTTTCTGTGTGGGGTCGAGCTTATATAGGTAATGACTCAGGAGATGTAAATTGGGCTTGCAATGGAAAATGGTCCCACAATACACTGACAAATGTCACACAAATGTGGTATGAGCTCAGCACTGAGAGACAAACCAGTTATTCCTTGAAGTCTGGAGTAATTTGTTTTGCTTTTGTTTTTTGAAACAGGGTCTCTTTATGTAGCCCTGGCTGTCCTGAAACTCACAGAGATCCACCTGCCTCTGCCTCCCAAGTGTTGGGATTAAAGGCGTGTGTCACCATTCCTGGCTGGAGTTGGGAATAATTTTGAAAGAGGAAACCTAGTTTTGGCCTAAAAGTCTTTGTGGATTTACTTTTTATGCCACCTATGAACACATGGAAGCAACTGACCCCACCTAGAAACAGTCCCTCCGTCCATTTCCAGCAGTCTTCGCTCGAATTTTATTCTTGCTTGTGTGTTTACAGAAAACAGCACAGAAATTATGCTTGGAAAACCTAAAAGTTATGACAGTTCGGTGTTTCAAACACCTCAACATCCAGTTTCTTCCTTCTCACGCTATGTACATTATTTACACGCCAGGGCTAGAGTCTGAAATCTCAGGCTGGAAGAAGACAAGAACTTGGGAGAGGGAGAGTTCTATGAACGGAATGAAGCAGAAACCAACTGTCAAAAGAGATTTAAAATCACAACTCACTGTCTCAGGCCTTTCTTGTGAAGCAGTCTCTGCAAAGGTGGGTGGGTGCCTAACTTCACAGGGTGAAGGGGGCCTTGTGGTTGGCCTGGGAATCCAGGAGCAGAGGCCTCCATAGGCTGTGGGCACCTGTTACCAATATAGAGACGGGGGAGGGGCATCTGCAGAGAGGACATCAGTATGGACAGCTCCACTTACCCTCAGTCCAACATGGCTCCTTCTCTATGGGCATGCTTCTGGCCAAACGGCTAGCAGGAAGCCATGAGTGCCTGCGGCTCAGTGTAGGGTTTTTCACTGGCCACCTGCCTTGTTTTCCTATGGATTTTCCCCTGAACCTGCCTTGTCACATATCCGTGATACATACGCATAGCCCAGGCTTGCTTTAGGTTTGACCTTTTAGGAATGCCTAGGTCAGGGTGAGGCCAAGTCTTTGGCTTCCAAGCTGTACCGTGTTTCTCCAAAGCAGGCACATGTGAACCAATAGGCTACAAGAGGGGTTCTCAACCTGTGGGTCGCGCCCCCCCCCAGGGATCACATATGAGACATATTCTGCATGTCAGATATTTACATTACAATTCATAACAGTAGCAAAATTACAGTTAGGAAGTAGCAACGAAATAGTTTTATGATTGGGGGTCACCACAGCATGAGGAACTGTATTAAAGGGTTGTAGCATTAGGAAGGCTGAGAACCACTGGGTTACAAGACTCTCTAGCAGAAGGAAGCCTTACACAGCAGATCAAAGTCACAGGCAGAAGAGTCAGAATGCTTCAGAAACACAGGCCCTGGGGCGCAAGAGCTCTGGGTAAGGGTTTGAGCCACAGCGTTGGGGAGAAGTGCCCCCTCTCGCAGGATGCAGGGTCTATGCATTGGTGCTTATCGGTGTTGCCCACCTCCGTGGAGGAACCTATAGGGCAGGCTGGTTATGAGCAAGCGCCTGAGGATGGTCCGCAGCATGGCATGAGACAGGGTGGGGGAGGACCCCAGTCTGAGACTTGCCCGTTTAGTCTTGAATCTGGTCATCAGGGCAGAATATGCAGAGGTTACACACGGACCAGTAGAGCAATATATTCACACAGCCGGACCTAAGGTCCAGGCCTGCTAAAAGGAATCGATGGAGCGGGAGGGGACCTGAGTTCCGGGGTGCTCAGGACCAAGTCACAGCTGTGCCAGGCTGTGGGCGCACAGCAACAGGCTTTAGGCATGGGCTGGTGGAGTCCACGAGGCTGCGAGGGAAAACTAGGGAGCAGACAGCAAGGGGTAGGCTGGGACAACCAGAGTCACCAAGGGTGGCAAGACGGCTCCAGAGGCAGGCTGTTAGGACGAGGAAGAGAGCGATACAGGAGGAGACTGTGTCAGCATGGTCCAACGCGATGGCCAGCACTGGCCCGTGCCTAGAGTTGATGGGGTAATAGAGAGCCTGTGGTGTAGGAAAGACAGACAGAGGCCAGCCCTGGCCTTGCCTCGGAGAGAATTCCCTGCACCACAGGCCCGAGAGGAGCAGAGTTCCGGGGCTCCAGAGCCAGCTCCTCTTGAGTTAGGCCATGTCCTCCAGCTGGGGCGGACTGAGCTGCTCTGCGGGCCTGTCTTCGTCCATGGCTTCCTCCTCTTCCGGCTTCTCAGCGTTCCTGGCCAGGCTGTCCGGCCCCGACACAGTCCCCAGAACCTTGGTGCTGTGCTCCTGAGCTTTGGCTCGGAGGGCGGCAATGCTGTTTTCCCTCAGTTCCTCCTGGGAGATGGCTGCCTGGGCATCCGGGCCCCGTTCCTCCTGCTCCATCTTGTCGAGCTTGGGCAGGCTCTGCCGTTCCACCTCGGGCTTCCTTCCCGACTCAGCTGCCGCCTCCAGCGACTTTTTGTGCATCCCTAAAAAGAATTGTTGGTATTCGGGTTTAGAAAAGCGCCTGGGAAAGCCATCTTGAACTGAAAACGGCAAAGATAGAGAGAGGCCAGAATTAAGGAGGAGCAGAAAGCCTTTCTTCACACACCACAGTCAAGTCCCACAGCTGGACCGGGGTCGGGGGCGATGGGGTGGCAGGTAGGGCTAGAATTTCAGGCCACCGGCTGGGGACCAGCCCTTCGGGAGAGTTCTCTACACCAAATCCTTGGGCTTGAGCAACCGTCCCTGCAGGGCATCTCCCTTCCCCCTTTGTCAAAGGACTCCAGGACCCCAAGATGAGCCGATGCCCGGATGACAGATGATGGCAGATGGCAGATGGGAAGGGTTGGGGCAAAGAAGTTCTTGGGCAAAACAAGAGAAGCGGCCAAGGGGACATAGGAAGTACCCTTACCACACAGAGGGAGCTTATCATTCACTGTAAGGGGACATATATATTCACCATAAGGGGACATATATATTCACTATAAGGGGACATATATATTCACTATAAGGGGACATATATATTCACTATAAGGGGGCATAGGAAGTACCCTTAACACAAAGGGGGCTGTATCATTCACTGTAAGCCCATTTTCAGTCAGGGAGAAAGGAATACAAAGTCACATCCTCCTCACGGAACAAAGCCAGGGACTCCAGAGTGGGAGTCTCGACACCCTAGGTGGGTGCAAAGGAAGAGCTGCCATTGGGTCACTGTGGCCCGGGCTCCCTACCCAGCACTCTGCTCCCTCCCCCAGGGAGCCCGCATGGGCTCTTACCCAGTAGCCACGGGGCACAGGAGTCCATGATGCCGTCCTTGGCCGACTTGAGAATGGACTCAGGCAGGGGGATGGAGTGCCGCACCATGGCCCCGTAGAGCCCGTACTCGGCCATGACGCTGCTCCTGCCCCAGCACTTCTCTCGCTTCCTCCACTTGGCTCTGCGGTTCTGGAACCACACCTGGCAGTGCAGAGAAATGGTCAGAGCCGTGCTCTGAGAAGCTCGAGGCCCGTACCCTGTCTGCCTCAGAGGGGGTTCTTAACCCAGTTCCTCTAACCCATGGAGTCCCCGAGGTATCTGATTCAGGGAGGGTGGCATCAAGACGAGACAGGTCTTTTTGTTGTTTTAGATCAAAGTCATTCTGGGGAGATAGGCTAAGGACACTTCTGGTCAAGGCTCGGCAGGTGGGCAGCATCTAGTATGGTCCTCCGTTTGCAGCCAGGATGCCCACCCAAGTGCGGAGGGTCTTGCAGACGTTCACACCTTCAGTGTACTGGTGTGTCCTGCCTCCTGACATTGCAACAGGCCGTTATTATCTATGAAGCTCTGGCTTGAGTACCACACAATCAAATTTAATAAAATATAAAAGCCAGAGAGGTGGTGGTGATACACTCCTTTAATCCCAGCACTCAGGAGGCAGAGACAGGAAGATCTGTGAGTTCAAGGCCAGCCTAGTCTACAGAATGAGTTCCAGAACAGCCAAGGCTACACAGAAAAACCCTGTCTCAATGCCCCCCCAAAGCCTAAACCCTATCATGATGATTTTTTTTTTTTTTGGTTTTTCGAGACAGGGTTTCTCTGTGGCTTTGGAGGCTGTCCTGGAACTCGCTCTGTAGACCAGGCTGGCCTCAAACTCACAGAGATCCGCCTGCCTCTGCCTCCCGAGTGCTGGGATTAAAGGCGTGCGCCACCAACGCCCGGCCATGATTTTTATTCTTAGATTTATTCATTTATTATGTATACAGTGTTCTGCCTGCATGTATGTCTGCAGCCCAGAAGAGGGCACCAGATCTCATTATAGATGATTGTGAGCCACCATGTGGTTGCTGGGAATTGAACTCAGGACCTCTGGAAGAGCAGCCAATGCTCTTAACCTCTGAGTCTCTCTCTCCAGCCCACCTTATCCTGTTTTAATTAAGTTTATAATTTCGTGTTGAATCACATTCATAGCTGTCCAACCCACAGGCCATCCCTGTAACAGACCCTCTGGTTTGCAAAAGGACAAATTCCAGGGACTAGAGAGATAGTTCAGTGATTAGGAACATTAGCTGTTCTTCCAGAGGACCCAAGTTTGATTCCCAGAACCCATATGTGTTCACAACCTTCCATAACTCCAGTTCCAGTAGTCTGACACCCTCTTCTGGCTTTGAGGGTACCAGGCACACAAGAAGTTCACGGAGATACACACAGGCAAGATACCCATACACATTAAATGAAATAAGAATTTTTTTGTTGTTGTTTTTTGAGACAGGATTTCTCTGTATTGTTTTGGAGGCTGTCCTAGAACTCACTCTGTAGACCAGGCTGGCTTCAAACTCACAGTGATCCTCCTGCCTCTGCCTCCAGAGTGCTGGGATTAAAGGCATGTGCCACCACTGCCCAGCAAGAATTTTTTTTTGAGGCATGGTTTCTGTGTATATCAGTTCTGGCAGATTATTTCTTTTTTTTGTTTTTTTGAGACAGAGTTCTTCTGTGGCTTTGGAGGCTGTCCTGGAACTAGCTCTTGTAAGACTGGTCTGGAACTCACAGAAATCCACCTGCCTCTGTCTCCCAAGTGCTGGGATTAAAGGCGTGTGCCACCACCACCCAGCTATTTTTATTTTTATTTATTTATTTATTTTGGTTTTTAGGAGACAGGGTTTCTCTGTATTGTTTTTGAGGCTGTCGGTCCAGCCCGGCCTCGAACTCACAGAGATCCACCTGCCTCTGCCTCCCGAGTGCTGGGTATTTTTATTTTTTTAAAGAACAAATTCCCTGGCCCTGTTATCTGCCAGAGTCCAGGAAGAGAACAAGAGTGTGAGTCTGTGGAGCTCAGAAGAGTGGGTACACTTGAGATATCACCATCCAGGGGTCTGGGGGTCTAGCAACAGGTTGCAGACTTCTTGAATACTGATCCTGCCATGTTTCCCTGACCACTGCCAACTGAGTCACCATAGCCTCTCACACGATTTGCTGCCCTCCGTTTCAGGCCTAACTTTGAATGGAATTTTGGAAAGATGGGCGACATTCTTGGGTCAGGTAAGGAATGTGACATTCTCTAGAGCACTAGGGAAGAGAAGAGTAGGGACCTAGCAGAGGGTTTGGTAGGCGACATCCTAGAGACGGAATATTTGGCTGAATAGGAATGACACTGGGGTCCCTGGGGGCGTCTGCAGCTGCAGCCTCCATCATCATCATCATCATCATCATCACCATCATCTGTAGCTCTGGGAATGGAACTCAGGGCTTGCCCCTTGCTAGGTAAGCACTCTGTCACCGAGCTATGTCCCCAACCCCACAGCAGCTTCCAGGAGGAAATTCAATCACCCAGCTCTATTGAGGGGCTCAGGGTGTGTCCCTCTCTCCCAAGCAGCCTTCCTGATGCCAGCTGCTGAGAGAACCCAGACTTATCCATCCTCAATGCTCTCTCGGGGAAACTGGGGGGGGGGCTGGAGGGCCCCGGGTACTTCTGGTCCCATCTTGACCCAGGATAAGAAACTAGGAACAGAAAAGCAGTTTCCTGGGCGCCTTCCATCCGCTCGCCTCTGGCGCCCCCGCCCTCCCCTGCGGGCCCCTCCCCCGCCCTGGGCGGCCAAGGTATCAGCTTTTGATGAAAAATTGCTCCTGCTCTATTCTTCAGGAGGCGGCAAAAGAAGAGTCACCCCCAGGGGCAGCCCTAGGCTGATTGAAAAATAAGTTAATTTCAGTTTGAATCGATGGGCCTCAGGCACTGAAATATCACGGGAAATTAAAGCGGCTTCTCTCCTGGGAGCCGCAGCATTGACCCGCACTAATTAATGCTGGGGAGGCAGTGATCGCCTCACCGTGAGCTGCTCCCCCTCCCCGGGGGACCCCAAACACTTCTCATTTAACTAATTAGACGAGGAAAATTGGGTGTTAATTTGTTTAGGATTCCCCCCCCACTTCTCCCCCGGCAGCTCCCTCTCCGGCCCCCGCCCGGTGCGGGGGCGCAGAAATGAATGCGGGGCTCGCCGGCAGATGGCTGCCCCGGTCACTCTGCAATCTTCTCCGACTTGATTGCTTGATTAGGTCGTTAGCACATTAAAAAAAAAAATTGCTTGCCGTCTGGCGCTGGCGTGATGAGTGGGACGCGCGGCAGCGCCTGGGTAATTTATCTTTTTATACGGCAAAGAATTTGATTTCAATCTGCAGATATATGGGTCGCCTTTGACACCTGTTTAACTTCGAACGGCTGACAGCTTAACCCTTTGCTGCCTGGGCAGCCGGGAGCCAAGGCTCGGATACGGGCTCAGCAGGAGGGCTCACTGGCGCTTCTCGCCATTGCCGCCAGGTGGCGCAGTAAGCGCTTATCATTCTTTAACAGTATAGTCTAGAGTAGAGCCGGCCGTACCCAGCAGGGGGCGCTCCTGACGCTATTTATTAAGTAAGGTGTGCCAGTAGGAAGCACATTCCCAGTTGGGAAAGACCTCATCTTTTACAGTACCTTTAAGTTAACCCATATGGCCATGTTTAGGGACCTCTTTGCAAATAACTAGGAGCCTTTAAAAACAGGAAAGGGCTTTAATCTCAGCACTGGGGAGAAAGAGGCAGGTGGAGCTCTGTGAGTTTGAGGCCAGCCTGGTCTACAGAGTGAGTTCTAGGCCAGCCATGGCTACACAGTGAGACTCTCTCAAAAACAAACAAATAAATAAAGGAAATAAAATCAAAATGGAAACATCACAGCCTCAGAAGCTCCCCATCCTAGCAGTGACCAAAAACTTTAGAAAGCCATTGCTGGATCCTTCTTGGGTGGTGGCACTTTTGACACACCCCCACCTATTAGAATCTGTAGTTTCTGCTTAGATCCGGGGAGCAAAGACACAAGAGCTCCTCCTGGTGCCCCACCACTTTGGGAAACTCAGGGGGAAAGAGCTCATAGAAAGAGATGTCCACTGGGGCTGGAGAGATGGCTCAGAATTTAAGAGCACTGGCTGCTCTTCCAGAGGTCCTGAGTTCAATTCCCAGCAACCACATGGTGGCTCACAACCTTCTATAATGAGATCTGGTGCCCTCTTCCAGAACACTATATGCATAATAAATAAATAAATCTTTTTGTTTTTTGTTTTTTGTTTTTCGAGACAAGGTTTCTCTGTATTGTTTTGGACTCTGTCCTGGAACTCACTCGGGAGACCAGGCTGGTCTCGAACTCACAGAGATCCGCCTGCCTCTGCCTCCCGAGTGCTGGGATTAAAGGCGTGTGCCACCACCGCCCGGCTAATAAATAAATCTTTAAAAAAAAAAAAAGTGATGGCCACTAGATGGCCGTCCTCTGTGCATCAGCGTTATAAGCCATCTGCTGGTCCTGCCTGGTCTCACTCTGTGTGTAGGTCCTCCGCACGGCTGCCTGCCTGTCTGCTGTATCTGGGTGTGAGGTCTGTCTGGGACTCGTCTTGTTCTGTCTCCCATCTATTCACGTCCCCATCTACAAAGTACCTACTTGTCCCAAACTTCCTTCTCCCAACAGAGGCAGAATCTAACCTGAGTATAAGTGACTTCCCATGTCCTCAGCTCCTCATACAAGACAGTGCAGAATAGCCAGGGACAGATTCCACCCACCAAAATTACGCATAATCAGGAGACGGCCAGTCCAGCAGGAGCGCAGTGCTTTGGAAGCCATCGAGGTCAGGTGAAGCCAGAGGATATCTGGGATCTTAGAGGTTATGTGTAGCCTGGATTGGAGAGATGGCTGCTCCTTCGGAGGACCTGAGTTCAGGTCCCAGCACCCACATTAGACAACTCACACCCTCCCATCACTCTAGCTGCAGGAGATCCACTGCTCTTTTATGGCCTAACCAGGCTCCGGCACACACAGAATTGAAGACAAATCTTTGAAGAAAATATATGTAGCCAGTCACGGAGGCACAGATCTGTGATCCCAGCACTTGGGAGAGAGAGGCATATGGATAAGAAGTTCAAGGCCAGCCTCAACTACACAGGAAATTTAAAGCCAGTAGGTCAAA